CTTTTGTGCCATGCGGAGTCCAGCGATGCTAGAACCGGCGGCCATGGTTGATCGCAACCAACACCGGCGATTGTGGAGATGAGAGGGCTCCGATGCTGCAATTGTTTTTCTTTTTGCTGGAACCGAGTTCAAAGATGCTGGAACCAGAGGCCATGCTTGCTGCAACCAGCAATTGTCGGCGGCAACCCGGCTCTGGTGCTGCGACCACTTTTTTTTTGCTGGAACCAGGTTTAGGAAAGCCGCAACCACTTTGGCTGGTGTTGGAATCGGACGGCGTCGAGATCAATTTTGCCGGAACTGGCATTTTTTTGCTGGAGCTAGGAAGATTTTTGTTGCGAGGACACGTGAGAGTTTTCGCTGTGACCGGCGACAGCAACGTGTTTTGCTGGGACTGGCAATAATTTTTGCTAGAACCAGGACAATGTTTTGCTAGAATCGGGCAGTTCGTTTGCTACAATGGATTTTTTGGAGTTTGCTGATGTGATTTTTTTTGCTGGAACCATTGTTAATTATGGTCGGAATCAACTATTGTTTTTGCTTAAACTGACTACCATTTTTAGCAAGCTCACAAAACATGTCTCTATCTCCGTTCATGTGATCAGTGTATACACTATCAAGAATCCATTCCTTTCCGACGGCCATGTAATCTCGAAAATTTGCCATGAGGTAAGATTTCTCATAGTCTTCTCATATTTGATATCAAACTCTTCATCCTCATCACAATACCCATGTTCAACGTTGTCATCATCAATTGGTGTATGATCATCACATAGGGCAATGGATTCATTAGTTCCATGATCAAGACAATGCTCAAGAGTGTGAATTCTAGTGGCTTCTATTATGATGTTACTAATGGTTCTAACATCGCCTTTAGCACACATGAGATCACGAATCTCAAAGAGACAATAATACAAATTTAGGATCACTAGGCTTCATCTTATGAAAAGCAATAGTTTTATCAAGGATCTCATGAAGGTTCTTTAATGAGTAATTGGGATAGCACATATCTAAGTCCTTCCACAAAGTATAGGCGCACTCAAAGATTTGTATACGAACAAGCACACTTTTAGGTAATCCACGAATGAAAGATTGACGGTTCTAAGATTACGAATCATGTCAATTTCCTCTTCATCGGTGGGGTGCAAGGGATCAATAGGAGGCACATAAGGACTAAGAATATGTTTGCTCAAGTTAAATTCATGAAAGATATCAAGCATTTTATCTCTCCATGAATTATAGTACTCTCCTTCAAGAATAGGCACTCTACATCTAAGACTCCCCAAAGTAGACACATCCATCTTCCTCCAATGGTGATTAAACCAAGGCAAATCAGACCAAAGCTCTTATACTAATGTCATCTTGGTGGAACCGAGTTTATATGGTTTGGTTGTGGCCCAGACTAAGTTAAACTTGGTGGGTCCGGGTGTATATGTATCGGTGGGTCCGAGTTTGACATTTAGGGTTTGGACATATTTGAATGTGGGAAAGTGGTTGAGGGTTTTTGGAGCAATATCTTCAAAGCACTTGAGCAACTAAATCATGATCAAAACCTCATCCCCTTTTAATAGTATTGGCTTTCCTATGGACTCAATGTGGTCTTGTGAAAGAACATGCGGTGCCCCCATGTTTGGTTTTGGTAATTGATGATAATCTCTATGGACTAATGGTTGCCTTGAGTTATATTTGAATGGTTTGTTCATAGGTTTTCTTGAAGTCCATGTGTTGGTTTCAAGGAGTTTGTGAGATGACCAAGGTGTTATTCAAGGAATTACCCAAAGATTGGGCATGTAGAAGTCATGATACAAGGTTGATCGAGACTAAGTCAAAGAGTGAATCAAGTTGATCAGCACACAAAGCGTATCAGATGTGCCGAGAGGTATCAAATGATCCCATGGTATGGTAAGCATTGTCCATTATGCTTTGTGTACTAACTCATGGTGTACCTGAGAGTTCTATGTGGGGTTAGGTATGTTTCCATGGGCTTGCATCAAGAGGAAGATCTCATACAACCCATGAAGGATGACATCAAGTGGTGATCGTCATCAAGACTGCGGTGTGCAAGTTCAAGTGGAGCATCACGAAGAGATCATGCTTGAAGCTTGTCGTCCATTGTGGTGACAATGGACTTGTGAAAATGTTCCAAAGAGTGGCTCACCCATAGTGGAGTATGGGGAGCAATCTACTAGTCTTAACCGAGCCAACGCAATCAAGAAAGGTGGTCCAACTTGAGGGAGTCAAGATCGTGATCATCTAGCTCAAGTGGACTATGTGTAAGGCAAAGGTTTGCCATTAATAGGTTTTCTATTTTACGGCCGCATGGTGGTAGTTGGGAGACCGGGTTATAGGATCGATTATTGTACTATTAAGGGGGGCTCTCAAGTTAGTAGCTTGCTCTTATCATTTGTAGAGAGCTCAAACCATTGCATCCTTGCATAATCTTTCTTGGTTCTTGTTTGGTGTTTCTCTTTGTGAGCCTTAGAGCTTTTGGTCATCTTCATGACAAGCTCGAGTTCATCGAAAACGGAGTTCACTTATGCATCTTCTATGATGTTTTAGATGTTGGAGTTTTTGCCAGTTCTTCACCGATAGAGGTTTCACTCCTTTATATCTTAGGCATAATCCCCCTGCCTCTTCTCAAGCCATCTATCCAACAAGCTTGAGTTTGCTCAACTCAGAGCTCTTATGTAGAAGTTATGGCAGTTCAGATTTTATTGGTTCCATCTGTTTTCCTGGGCTTCATTGTAGCACCCCAAGCGGTAGTACCGCTTATGGGCAGCAATGTCGTGGGCAGTACCGCTATTTTCGGGGATGCAATTTTTTGTGTCGGCTTCCGCAGCAGTGGGATAGTAGCACGAGCGGTAGTACCTCTTTCAAGAGGTAGTGTCGCATCTGCAGTACTGCTCCACTTCCGCTTTCCTTTCTTATCACTGCATGTCTCAGTGGTAGTACAACGACTGTGGTGGGCAGCACTACCGCCTATAGGCGGTAGTACCGCTGGCTCCAGCGGTAGTGCCGCTGATGCGGCTATGCCTCGCCCCCCTGTTTTGCTTTGCCTCTTTAGTGCCTTGTGCTGCGACCCAAGCGGTAGTACCACTCCGGCGACACTACCGGCTCGTGGTCTTGCACCATTGCACTACACTATGTGCACTACCGCCCGGGTAGTAGTACCGCTCCTATGAGTGGTAGTAACGCTTGTGTGCAGGTTGAGCACATAATGGTTGGATTCGGGAGGCCCTATAAAAGGGGGTCTTCTTCCACATTGAACCTTATCTCTTTAGATGGTGTTCTTCCCCCATTGTTGACCTTCTTCGAGCTTGCTATCTCTCAATCCCTCCAATGATTCTTGCTAGTTCTCAAGGGAAAAGAGAGAGGAGATCTAGATCTACGTTTCCACCAATCACTTTCTCCTCTATGTGAGGGGAACCCCTTTGATCTATATCTTGGAGTTCTTCATGTTCTCTTCTTTGTTCTTCCCCTAATTTTGTTCCCTACATTAGTTGCTTTTGTGGGATTTGGGAGAGAAGGACTTGGGCACTTCGTGTGCCCTTTCCATTACATTTGGTGCATCGGTTTGAGTTCTCCAAGGTGATACATGGAAGTGAAGTTGAGAAGCTTGTTACTCTTGGGTGTTTGGGCACCCTAGAGCTTGTTCCTCTTGGGTGCCTTGGTGCCCTAGACGGTTGGTGTTGTCAGATCTCAATCATTGTGGTGTAAAGCTCCGGGCAAGCGTCGGGGTCTGCAATTAGGTTGTGGAGATCGCCCGAGCAATTTGACAGGTACCGGTGACCGTCCCAAGGGTTGCCAAAGTGTACGGGTTCGGTGACCGCCCCCAAGGGTTGCCAAAGTGTATGGGTTCGGTGACCGCCCCCAAAGGTTGCCATTTGTACGGGTTCAGTGACCGCCCTTAAGGGTTTCTTAGTGGAATCACGACATCTTGCATTGTGTGATGGCATGAGGAGATTACGGTGGCCCTAGTGGCTTCTTGGGGAGCATTGTGCCTTCACACCGGTCCAAACGGAGATTAGCATCCGTTCACTCTGAACTTCGGGATACATCACCGTCTTCGCGTGTCTCGGTTATCTCTTACCCGAGCCCTTTACTTGTGCACTTTACTTTGTGATAGCCATAGTGTTTCATGATATATATCTTGCTATCACTTTGTTGTTTATCTTGCTTAGCATAAGTTGTTGGTGCACATAAGTGCGCCTAGTCGATTTAGGTTTTGTGCTTGACAAATTAACCGCTAGTTTTATCTCGCATTGTTTCAAGCCTAAACCATAATTACTTTAAACCGCCTATTCACCCCCTCTAGGCGACATCCACGATCTT